GGTCACTGTGCCTAACCCTGGTATGGAATCTTCAAGTAAATGGAGTATCTGCTCTGGGCATGCCTCGTGCTGCTAATACGGACGGAATGAATGCCAAATTACTGTAAGACATCATTCCCGTGCAGCCTTCTCAGACCTGAGAATTTGTAATCTAACTGGGGGCATGAAACATTCATAGGAAACAGCTCACAGTGCCAGGCTTTGTGCGATTGCAGGACCACAGGTTCTGGTGCTGGTTCGGTTAAGCAGTCTCAATCCTGGCAGCACAGGAAACTCTAAAATACTGCTTTGGAAGCAGACCGTTGCCTGGGACACTTTCTGAGACAACTAAAACAAAATTTCTGGATGTTGAGTTAATTGGTAAACCTCTTTGTGCTCCAATTTCCTCATCTGTGAAATTAGGGCAATATTTGTGTCTACCTCAAAGAGTTGTTAGAGGAATGAAATGTGTTAATGTGTGTAAATACTTGTAATAGTGCTTGGCACAGGGTAAGCACTCAAGAAATGTGAACTCTTATTGGTGAACAAATATTCAGATGTGACTACCTTGTACACTCTGCCTCAGCTTTACAGGTTTTTTTTTTTTTTTTTTTTTTTTTTTTTTTTTGGACAGGCAGAGTGGACAGTGAGAGAGAGAGAGAGAAAGGTTTTCCTTTGCTGTTGGTTCACCCTCCAATGGCCGGCGCTGCTGGTGCACCGCGCTGATCCGAAGGCAGGAGCCAGGTACTTCTCCTGGTCTCCTATGCGGGTGCAGGGTCCAAGCACTTGGGCCATCCTCCACTGCACTCCCTGGCCACAGCAGAGAGCTGGCCTGGAAGAGGGGCAACCGGGACAGAATCCGGCGCCCGACTGGGACTAGAACCCGTGTGCCGCGCGCAGCAGAGATAGCTATGAGCGTGCGCAGTCTTGATCTCTCCCTGAGACTCTGAGATAGCTTCTGTATGATCTGTTTCCAGAAAAGGCCTTGGCAGATTTAAAGTACTTAAAACCAGCACTCCTTGTTGGGCGTTACAGGAAGCCTTGGTTCATAAGTGGCTAACTAGATGCACAAAATTTAGAGCCCTTTTCAGCATATTGCAGTCAACGACTCCAAAATTAATGTTGTAAAAATTAGGTGGGGGCTGGTGCTGTGGCATAGTGGGTAAAGCCACTACCTACAGTGCTGACATACCATATGGGTGCTGGTTCGAGTCCTGGCTGCTCTACTTCCAATCCAGCTCTCTGCTATGGCCTGGCCTGGGAAAGCAGTAGAGGATGGCCCATATCCTTGTGTCTCTGCACTCACATGGGAGACCCGGAAGAAGCTCCTGGCTCCTGGCTTTGGATCAGCGCAGCTCCGACTTTTGCGGCCATTTAGGGAGTGAACCAGCAGATGGAAGACCTCTCTCTCTCTCTGCCTCTGCCTCTCTGTAATTCTGCCTTTCAGCTAAATAAATAAATAAATAAATATTTAAAACAAAACAAAACAAAACAGAGAGATAGAGAGAGAGAGAGAGAAATCAGGTGGATACTAGGCTGGCCAGATCCATGGAGGAGGGGCAAGTGAATTCTTTACAGATTTAGGAGGAAAAGTGATCCCATAGCCTAAATAGTTAGGCTATGAATGATTTAGGATATTAATGAAAACTGGCCTTTGCTAGGTTCTAGGCCTTCTTTTTTAGTTTATGCTCGAATCATATGAATAGTTGCTCCAGTATCAGTGAGGAATGAAGGCAGAGAGAAGTTAAGCAACTTGCCTGGGGTCTTGCATCTGGGAGGAAGTAGAGAGAGGATTTGAGCACAGGTCTGTCTCCAGATGTACTGTCCTAACCACAGCGTACAGGCCCTGCACCTTTGTGGGCACTGCTGTGAGTGAATCTATGGACTGGTCACCTCCAGGTCCACTCCTTTCCTTCATCCACTCCTCTTTCATCTGGTTAGTTTCTGTTTCCATCATCTCTTGATCCACTGAATACCTGATACCAACACTAGACAGAAGAGAAGGACAGCAGTGTATGTGTCAGAGACACTCAGCCCAGAACACCTCGTGCCAGGTGGGCATACTTGGTTTTGTTCTTGGGTTCAGTGTCAACAAACAGAAAGAGGCAAGTGTTGTAGGATCAAAAGGGTGGGTATCTTTTGTTTCTCAAGGGAGGATGTGATTGGTTCCTGTGAATAATTCCATGAGCTGGCAGAGCACTGAAACCAATACCCAGGAATGAGCAGCAACTGAACCTGGTCTCTGAGTAGTAGGGTTGTTTAACAAGAGGACTTTGTCTTGAGGGGCCGTGTGGGGCGGGGAGCTTGCAGCCACACCGTTTGAGACCCGCTGTGTTTTGCCAGCTGTCAAAGCAGCACACAATATTGAAGCTTAAGTTGAGGACTTACATCGTGCTTTCTTCTTTTGTCCCCATCTTGTCTTCTCTTCCTGTCTCCCTTTTCTCTCCCCTCCTGAGAAGCAATAGATTCAAGGTCGAAGGCAAAACACTGGACTCAGATTCTGCTTTGCCCCTTTGCAGCTGAATACCAGTCTCGGTGAGGGTCTCAAGATCTCTCGGGCTCAGCTTTGTTTTTGCTATAAATCATAAAGGAAGAGTCCCTTTCCAAACACATCTGTTTAGAGCTCTAAATGAAAAGCACTTTTATCCCCGTGGGAAATATTCAGCAAACATCAGCCATGCTCTGGTAGGCAGCTTAGCTCTGTGGTGACACTTGGGGCCAAAGGATGGCTCCAGGTGGCTGGGGCTTGGGGTCCATCTGAGGATGACTAAGTTGAAAGGGAAAGGACTGAGTGCTTAAAAACTTGGCCTCAATACAACTGCAGCTGAAGTATCTTCTTTGTCAGGAATCTCAAGGGCTCAGGCCAGCACAACCTGTGCATTCATGTTTTTGAAAAAAAAAAAAAATGCAGCAACAATAGCTGCTTGGACCTGCATGTTCCTCCTTGTCTCCAGTGTTGGCCTGTGCCAGTGTAATCGACTGCTCGTGTTTCAGCTGGTAACTTGGAAACTGTGCTCAGGATCCATGGTATGCATTTTGGTTGGAACTCATGTCCCTTAGTGATATTAGGTGAGAAGGGAGAAAAGGAAAGCCATGTGACATGGACAAGTGACAGGCAAGTCTCTAAACGTTGGCAGGAGGGGATTGAGTGAACGTGATAACTTGAAAGAGGATACTGCTCTACTTTGTCCTTCTTTTCTTCACTCTCTGAGTTCATATTTCTGAGGCTTTTAATTTACAAAACTTAAACAAGAAGGTATATTAATCTTTTTTAAAGATTTATTTATTTGAAAGACAGAGTAACAGAGAGTTGTAGAGCCAGAAAGAGAGAGAGAGGTCTTCCATCCAGTGGAAAGAGGTCTTCCATCTGCTGGTTCACTCCCCAAATGGCCGTGACAGCCGAAGCTGAGCTGATCCAAAGCCAGGAGCCAGTAACTTCTTCCAGGTCTCCCACATGGGTGCAGGGGCCCACTGGTTCAGGGCTGGATCAGAAGTAGAGCAGCCAGGATGCAAACCGGCGCCCATCCGGGATGCTGGCACTGCAGGCCAGGGCTTTAACCCACTGTCCCACAGTGCTGGCCTCCCTCCGAAAGCATATTAATCTTTTAATACAATCTTTAATAAGCTTTTAATTATATTTTCCTTGAACATTTAAAAAAAGATTTATATATTTATTTGAAAGGCAGAGTTATAGAATGGCAGAGGCAGAGAGAGAGAGAGAGATCTTCCATCTGCTGGTTCATTCCCCAGATGGCTGCAATGACTGGAGCTGAGCTGATGTGAAGCCGGGAGCCAGGAGCTTCCTCCAGGTATCCCACGTGGGTGCAGGGGTCCAAGGATTTTCCTAGGCCAAAGCAGAGAGCTGGAGTGAAAGAGGAGCAGCCAGGACTCAAACCGGAGCCCATAGGGGATACCGGCACTGCAGGCAGTGGCTTTATCCGCTATGCCACAGCGCTGGGCCAGAAAGACTATTAATCTTAAATGCTGCCCATTAATCACCACTTCCAGCCCAGTGGTGAGAGATGGACGACTCACTTCCACAGCTGATTCTCAGTAATGGCAGGTCAGGGTTTGCCCTCACACTTCCCCTCCCATCTAGCTAATGGAGAAAGCTCCCCCTTAGGAAGTGCTCATCCTGGAGCAATTTTTCAAGGGAAAATTGCAGACAGGAATAGCCACTGACATTAACCTATTTCTCTTAGGGAAGCCAGGTTCAGCAGTGCGGCATGGTGATTATAAACACACTCCCTACCTTTGAGAGTTGTCACAGGACTGAAGAAGTGACTCAAGCACTTCCTTCAGAGGGTGGCCTATAAACAGGTCTAGCAATCAGTAGTGAATATTCACAACACCCCTTCAGAGTGCCCAACACTGGGCTGAGTTCTTCGCTGTTGCTACTGTTTGGTCTGCAGCATCTTTTATGGTACAGGTGCCATCACCTCCCCCTGGTTTACAGACAGGAAAACCAAACTGCTAAGTGACCTGCTCAAAGTCACACAGCTCATAAGAGACAGAACCAAGAGTTGGCCCCGTGGAACCCCTGACTCGGAAGCAGATTTACAAAAGTCTCCATGCGTGGTGGGAGGTAAAACAACTTACCCCCAAGAGTGGAGCCTGCTGCTGTGCAGTGACGCATGGGTTTCAGCCCTCTGGCCACTGGAGTCCCTGAAAGGAAGTCGCGTGACTGCGCCAGGAGGAAATGAGTCAGCCTGCTCACTGCTTGACCTACACCCACGGTCTTCCTTAGACACTCAGAATGCCACAGTGTTGGTAGTGAGGGTGAGCAGTTGCTTCTCGCCCTGCACACAGTGTTCCAGGGCTTAAGAATTTTCAAGAGTTGCCCTTGCCAGCCCTGGCAAGCTTCATCTCACGCGCCACTCAGCAGGACGTCTGCCCCCAAGTCCCTGTCGGTGCTGAGCTCTGGTGGTGGAGCCATGAGGAGCTGCAGCACTGGCTGCCTGCTCCACAGAGGGGCGTGGCCAGATGCGGATGCCCTGGGGGATCCGAGGAAGATTCCAGAAGCTGAGGTGGGAGGTAGCACAGAGGAACTGCTCGCAAAGTCTGGGTATACTTTGAGAAGTCACAGGCAAGTTTATTTTCATAGGTTGGAGAGAACACTGCCATCTAAGAATGTCGGCAGAGAGGTGAGTCTCTCTGTAGCAGTCACCACAGAATGGCAGAGCCCAGGAAAAATCCCAATGGGTTGGAATGCCCACTTTGGTGACTCCTAAGGCAGGCTTTGGTGCCACTGCCAGCCATTCTGTCTCCAGGCAGTTGCATGTGGCTGAGGCTGCAGCAGACAGCATGTTCAGGAACACCTTAATGATGTCAGGATGCTTTTCATTGCTCATCTATCAGTTAACAGCTCAGATTTGTCATGTGCTACCCGCGCGCTCCCTTTAGCGTGGACAATGCATTCTTTCAACAGCGAGCGGCTCAGTGGGACAAGCCCTGCTGAAAGCAAAGCGGTGGTGCCTGCAGCCTGCCCCTCTGGGGAGGAGGGGGGTGAGGGGCAGGTGGAGACCAGATGCCTGGTCAGGGCCGAGCTGGGGGATGAGCGCATGGAATGGCCACTTCTGCTTCCACTTACTCATTTCTCTGTGCTGAAAGGTGTCATATAAATGCTAAATAGAACAGAGAGGGATGGGCCTATGTATTTGCATTTTGTCTAGTGTAAGCAGATGCAGAGAGAAAAGCAGCTTAGCCCCCACTGTTCACCTGCCCCCACCAGGCCTGACCTTTAGTTTGTTTTGACATCGTCCACATCAGTTCTGCTCCAGCTCTGCAGGAGGACATGGGATGGGGCACCAAAGGGTGCACGCATTCTGTCCTTGGTGGGTCTCCAAACCTTGCTGGGGAGACCAGTTGATCCACAGGAACCATCTGAGAACAACACAAGTCAGCTTGTGGCTACATGGTAAGTGATGGGGAAGAGAAGAAGGGCTGGGCTGGAGGAGTTCAGTGAGGAGAGTGCCAGGCGTGGACGGGCAGGAAGTCTTCCTAAGGGAAAGGGAGCCCTGGCCTTGCCTGGGAAGCTTGGCCGGGGTAGAGACGCAGATCCCGCCTAAGCCCCTTGGCAGGACCCTCACGGCTGCCAGTCTTCTGCCAACGCCCTCTCCTCCTTGGATGGTAGGGGCCCCTCTGCATTTCAGTCTGGGCTTACATGGCATGCTTCCGGGAGCTCTTCCTGGACAATTCCAAGAAGCAGCCCTCTCCACCGCATTGTTATCTGTCAGGGGATCCTAATTTTCACTCCCTTCACGTAACACAACATGCAGTTAGATATTTGCTTGTTTCTGTTCTGCAGTGCTGTGATCGCCACGGAGGCAGCAGTCCTGTCCACCTGTCGAGTTCATCGTTGTTGCCCAGACAAGCATGCTGCCTAGAGCCTAGCAGGCACTCAATACGTACTTGTTGAATGCGTGACGTTTGAGGAAAACCTCATTTAGAAAATGTATCTGTTAGCCAATTGAATCCGAGTTCTCCTTTTATAATCCAGGAAGAAAATCTACAGATTCCATAAATGTGGCACAGGGCGGAATGTCTCTGAGGAAGAAGTATTTTCATTGAAACATACAACCACAATCAAGAAAGGAAAGCAGAGCAACTTACATAAGCATGCCGGTCAAGTCTGCATGTTAAAAAAATGGAATGAAAAGAAGTAAAAATTGATTAGCAATTGCAATGGGACCTTGTATAAGCATGACTGGCTATTATACATAGTATGTTTAAGCCATTTCTGCATTGGATCCTGTCCAAGGTGGTTTATTAGTGGAGGAAGCGGGAGAATCTTGTTCTGCACACAGCTTTACCTAAAACGTGATCCACACACAGGGATCCAGAGGACGGTCGCACAGGGAGGGCCCACAGTGGCTTTAAGTAGGAAAGTGAATTTCTCATTTCATCCTCTCTTGAAGTTCTTGTTTAGAATGAGTGAATGGCTTGGATCATTCTCCTTTTGAAAACAAATTGCTTAAAATAACATGCCAGTGTTATTACGGGAGAGAGTCGTATTTTAAAAAGTAAATATATGCGAGTACAGAGTTGATCAGCTTTTTAGTCTAATTTAATCTGATTAATATGTAACTTTAATTATGGAAATTAGAGGCTACAAATAAGAAATATCCTCAGCTTTCCTTGAAGGAATAAAAGTGAGCTCTCTTCACTTCTGTAGAATTTCGTTTGGGAAAGGACGGGATGTCATGGAGACAGTGATTTCCTAATGCTGCCCCAGCACAATCCGTATCTTGATAGCTGCATTTTATGCAGCCGCACTAGCAGAACCAGAGTGCCAACACGTGTTAGAAATTGCTTCTCCCCACTTCCTCACCTTCACCTTCCACTGGACATGAATAATAAGGCTGGTGGTCAGAGTTATAGAGCATTTTCACATGCCGGCCGATGCTCTTCTCCCCAGTGGGAAGAACGGGCCACAAAGGAAGCAGTACCTTTCTCTGAAGGGACTATGGCCTTTTCTAAATAAGATCAGAGTTGGTGAACTCAAGAGGTTTCCATCCTTGGCAGCTCATGACAAGAGCCTCGAGTGATTACTGACGTCATAAATAAGAGTGTCAATTGTTAAATCAACAACGGGAGTCACTGTGCACCCCCCCCCCCGCCATGTAGGACCTCTGCCCTTAGTGTGTAGTACTCTATACTTTGTGTGTCTGTTAAAATCTTTACTTAATATATACTAAGTTGATCTTCTGTATATAAAGATAATTGAAAATGAATCGATGAAGAATGGGATGGGAGAGGGAGTGGGAGATGGGATGGTTGCGGGTGGGAGGGAGGTTATGGGGGGGGAAAGCTGCTATAATTCGAAAGTTGTACTTTGGAAATTTATATTAAATAAAAGTTGAAAAGAAAAAAAATATTGACCAACAATAATGGCTTGATTCCTAACCGTTATGGCTGGGTTCAGTGATGGCCAATGCTGAACTGCATGAGATACCAGTTTCTGGGAGCTCCCCATCTCCCCACTCCCCTGTCTGCTAGCCTAATCTGGATTCTTAAGCAGAGGGGAGAGAGTTGCTACAATCAAATTCAGGATTCCTGCAGGAATTCACTTCTTTTCTGCCCTTCTGTGTTTCAGGGCATTGTATATGCAGGAGATGTTGGTCTGTCCTCACATTCTAACTGTGTTGGAGGGAACCTTTCCCCAGAACCAGAATCTAGACCATGTGTATATACACACAGCCAAACCCTGCAAGTACTGTAGGCTACAGATCATTGCACATAATGTGGGTGTAATCATTGACGAAAAACAATACTGTCTTAGATTTGCTTCATTTCCTAAACTACTGAACTGATTTTTTCCCATATTCTTTATGTACATGTGTTATCAAAAACTGGGGTACTTAGTCAATTAGTAGGAGTGATGATTATGAGTGATGGGCTGCTGTTGTTATTTACTCAGAAAATGTCATAAAATGGGTGTTAGTACTGGCTACTGAGCTGTTAGTACTACTCCTGTCATCTGTTTGGATGCAGGACCTGAGTCTCATTCCTTATAATTTACTGTCTTTAGCATTTACTCTGCTGCTGCAGAGGAATGCTCTCTGCATAGCTAGACCCTGCCAGTGCCAGAGGAATCACTGACTTGGAAATCAAAAGATCAATTTGCCTTCTAGCCTACCCTCCTGAAGAGCTGCCAGCACCTGCTATACTGTTAGATGTTTAAATTAATTACTTATTTTTAATTTTATTTGATAGGTAGAGAGAAAGGGAGAGAGAAGGAGAAAGAGACAGAGGCAGAGAGAGTCTTCCATCCACTGGTTCATTCCCCAAATGCCACAGTAGCCAGGTCTGGGCCAGTTCAAAGCTGGGAGCCAGGAACTCAACCTGAGTCTCTCACATGGGTGGCAGGAGCCCAAGTATCTGAGTCAATCCTGGGGTGTGCATTAGCAGGAAGCTAGAGCTGGAAGTAGAACTGGGACTCCAACCACTCTGGGACTCCAGGCATTCTGATATAGAATGAGGTTGTATCGAGCAGTATCTTTTTTCTCTTGTGCCAAATACCCACCCCAGCACTTCCCAAATTTTTAGGATTGTTATTAGCATCGGGACAACAGGAATGATATGAGTAGATAGAAAGCACCAGGCTCAGAAATGTGGTATTTTTAAGCATTAAACTAAAAAACTATAAAGAATAGAAAAACAAATCAAAATGAATTAGCACGGAAGACTGAGAAACACCTCAGTGCACATGTGGTGCTTGGTGCTGCATGCTGAAATTGAGACTAAAGCATCAAAGAGGAAAAGGTAATTGATCAAACTAATGATGTTGAAATAATTTCCAAGGAGGATAACATCACTAAATTCCTTCCTCATATCACACACAAAAATAAACATGAGAAATAAAATTATAAAGAAATGAGAACAGAGTATAGAATTTCCTCACTACCTCAAGTGAGAAGATCTCTTTAAAGCATCAAAGAGCAAATTCTAGAAATAAGGATTCATAGATTTTATTATATTGAATGAAGAACTTCTGTGTGAGCAGACAGGAGAAATGGGAGCAAGGGAGAGTGGGGAGAACTTGCATCGGATAGATAGGCAAAGGATTCCTGTCCAAATTATGTAAAGAAAACGAAGTATATAAATGACAAAAGAAGCTACTGACAAATGAGCCAAGAGCAGAGAAAGGCAACTCAGACAAGAGTAATCTAAAACTAAATGGTGAATAAACATTTTTAAAACTCTCTTTTAGTAACCAGTAAAATGAAATAAAGTCAAATAGATTACAAAATCCAGAAGTTTGATGGTGCAAAATATTAGTGGGGAATTTGAGTTCACATTAGTTTATTAGTACACAACTTTAGTCTACTCTCAAGAGTAACCAGTAGTTTTTTTTTTAATTTTTATTTATTTTTTTATTTTTTGACAGGCAGAGTGGACAGTGAGAGAGAGAGAGACAGAGAGAAAGGTCTTCCTTTGCCGTTGGTTCACCCTCCAATGGCCGCCGCGGCCAGTGCGCTGCGGCCGGCGCACCGCGCTGATCCGATGGCAGGAGCCAGGTACTTCTCCTGGTCTCCCATGGGGTGCAGGGCCCAAGCACTTGGGCCATCCTCCACTGCACTCCCTGGCCACAGCAGAGAGCTGGCCTGGAAGAGGGGCAACCGGGACAGAATCCGGCGCCCCGACCGGGACTAGAACCCGGTGTGCCGGTGCCGCAAGGCAGAGGATTAGCCTAGTGAGCCGCGGCGCCGGCACCAGTAGTTTTTGGTACCCTCTTTGATGTGTATCACCTACAACTCAGCATTTCTACTTCTAGTTTCTTATGTTTGTAGAGGTGAACTTACAAAAAAAGCCTTGTCAATATGGAACAGGAATGATTTTAAAAATATTTAGCCATCAAATATGGTACAGGCAATAACTAATCAGAACACATGGTGGCCATGGAGTTGGGCAGGGCCTAACGGGTCGGATAGGGCTCTGTGGACAATATCTCAATAATAGGTATGGCTGTCCAGGCCAGGATGACAAAGCTGGGCCTGGGTAGCAGAGAGTAGAAGTCAGGGGCAGGGCCTCTGGATTCAGATCTTTTGTGGTTGAATTCTGGCTCCGCTGCTGGAGAGCTGTGGACCGTTGGGTTTTTTCCTAATAGTTTTCCACTTTAGCTTCTTCATCATGTCGAACAGGGATTATAACACTGCCTTCCTCATAGATGTGTTATGAAGATTGAGATAATACATAAGAAGCTCCTAGATATTCCCACATATATGGTAAACACTCAGTATATGTTCTAGGAAAATGGAAATGGATAAATAAAATATACAATATATGCATGTGAAATAGAATTTCCTAGAGCAATTAGAATAAATGAGCTCTGTGCATTGACTTGGATCAAGTTAAAAAAAAGTTGAGTGGAAAAAAACTGCAAAATAACAACTTATGGCACTTATGAAGGCATACACACAAGAAATTAAAACATGCACGCGGAGGACACTCATCGGATTCAGGACATGGATTATGTCTAGGAAGGGAGAGGAATGGGACTGAGGAAGGGTACAAAATGGGTGTAAACATTTTATTGAGTATTAAATATTATTCATTGATTGATTTAAAAGGCAGGTTGTCTGTCAGAGGGAGGGAGAAACACTCAGAGAAAGACATCCCTTTCGTCTACTGGTTCACTCTCCAAATGGCCACAACAGCTGAGGCTGGGCCAGGTTGAAGCCAGGAGCCAGGGTAGCAGGCACCCAAGTACTTGAACCATTACCTTTTGCCTGCCAAGCACATTAGCAAGAAGCTGGATGAGTAGTGGGGGTGGAGGACCAGCGCTGTGGTATAGTGGGTTGAGTCACAGCTTGCAGTGCTGGCAAGCCATATGGGCACTGGTTCGGGTTCCAGCTGCTCTACTTCCTATGCCACTCCCTGCTAATGTGCCTGGGAAAGCAGTGGAAGATGGGCCAAGTGCCTGGGGCCTTGCACCCATGTGGAAGACCCAGATGAAGCTTCTGGCTTCTGGGTTTGGCCTAGCTCAGCCCTGGATGTTGCGGTCATTTGGGAAGTGAACCAGTGGATGGAACATCTCTCTCTCTCTCTGTGTCTCTTCCTTTCTCTCTGTAACTTTGCCTTTCAAATAAATAAATAAATAAATCTTTAAAAAAAGAAGTGGGGGTGGGATTGTATCCCAGATTCTCCACCTGATATGGGGTGTTGGTGTCCCAACACTAATCCCAGTACTTTTTTTAAAAAATTTATTTGACAGGTAGAGTTATAGACAGTGAGAAAGAGAGACAGAAAGAAAGGTCTTCCTTCCATTGGTTCATCCACCAAATGACCACTACGGCCAGCACTGCGCCGATCTGAAGCCAGGAGCCAGGTTCCTCCTCCCGGTCTCCCATGCAGGTACAGGGCCCAAGCACTTGGGCCATCCTCCACTGCCTTCCTGGGCCACAGCAGAGAGCTGGACTGGAAGAGGAGCAACCAGGACTAGAACCTGGCACCCCCAGTACTTCTTTTAATATTAAAGAAAAAATTCCTGAAACAAAAAGATAAATTATTAGTATTTCTTAATTTTGAATAGTACCTACATATTTGTAATATTCTCTGAACACTTTGTATCTTTATTTTCTTTCAAAAAGGGAGAGGAAGGAAAGAAGGAAGGGAGGGAAGGTAGGAAGGAGAGAGGGAGGGAGGAAGAAATTGATGGGCTAGGTATCGGGAGATCTGCGTGTTGGTACCAGCTCTGCTTTAATTCATTTTATGACTTTGAGTCAATCACGGAAACCTCTATAGAGTTCAGTTTCCTCCCCTGGAAAGCCAATATTAAAAATAACAATATTTATCTCAGGGGATGTTGTGAGAATTAAATGAAATTTTGGAGAAGTTCTATAAATGCTAAAGCTCTATTCGAATGTCAGTTAACATGCAATCGAGTAGTTGGATTAATAATCCCTAAGACTTTTCTAGCACTAATTGCATGTGGCTGGTAGGGGTATTTTGAGGAGCAAGTAGGGTAATGTAGATCAAGTTCTCAGCGCCGGCACTCAGCCGACATCAGAGACTGCTGGTGCTTTCTCAGTGTTGATGCCTCTTTGCTTTCTCACTGGTGGAGATCTTGTTTCATTCTGGGCACTGGTGTGTCTAGATGAAGGGGTATTTCCTAGCTTCCTATAATGAGGAGTTGTTGGTTGCATTTCCAGAATGCCGCCTCAGCTGAGAGAACTAGCCTTTTTGCCTGCTGCTTTCCCTTCTTTTTCCCTCTTGGAAGATAGAGATGATGGTTGGCATT